CCACCCGCAGATGGTCTGACCCCTCCTGGTCCAGCACAGGACATGGGCACAGCCACAGGCCCAAGTGCCCGTGTGGCCAGGGAAGGCTGAGTGAGCAGAGGGTCCACTTGTCCACTTGTGGACAGTGACCGGCTGGGGGGTTCACCAGGGCTCCCTCGCCCCCGTGGGGAGGCTACAGCTCATCAGAGATGCCCCCGCCCGTCTGGACAGCCGTGCAGCCAGGGACATCACAACCAGAGCAGGCTCTCTGCGTGGAGAGGCCTGGACTGCCCATGGCCGCTCTTGCCCCTGGCACCGCCATCCCAGCGCCCCGGCGCCCCTCCCACGAGCCCACGCTGACGCCCAGCACCACGGGCACTCTACTGTCCCCAGTGCACGGTGAACCACAGCCTCCACGCCCCCAGGAGCAGGGCACACGCCGTTCTAAACACTGGCGCACCCAGGGCCACGAGGGACGCCGGCCATGGCTGAGGCTCCATGGTCTCCACAGAGCCCCCTCCCCACCGTGGGCCCCGGAAGCGCGCAGTCTCTAGGGGAGCAGCCCCGAGAGCCAGACCCTCACAGGCTGCCTCATGCCAAACTCATGGCGGCCACCCCCCCCCCCGCAAGCAGCTGCCACCGCGATGGTGTCCACAGCTCTGATAGCCACCCCAGCATCGTAGCACCCCACTGGGAAGGTCTGGGGACTTTCCAGAACAACACAGACGTGGATCTATGTAGCAAGACTCCTCGTCCTGGTCATGGGAGCCGATCTCACATCAGAGGCACAGACGTGTCTCACCACTGCTTCCTCGGCCCGCGTGGCGACACACACCCCCGGAGTTACACCTTCAGCCATGTCACTGGGCTGAGAGAACAAGGACAGAGGCCCTGACACCCCGACACCACGTGACCACCAAACCCCTGCACCTGCCTCCATGTGCACGCACACACAGCCCATATGCGTGCACACACACATGCATGCAGAGCCCAGGAAAGTGCACACGCGTGTGTACACACAGCCCATGTGTGTGCACACACACGTGCATGCAGAGCCCAGGAAAGTGCACATGCATGTGTACACACAACCCATGTGTGCACATCCCACGTGTGCACACATGCACGTGTACACACAGCCGTGCACGCTGTACATGTGTGCACACACATGCACACGTGTGGGTACAATCCACAGTGCACACATGCACACACAGCCCACGTGCTCACACATATGCACATGTACGCACAGCCCGTGTGTGCACACACATGTACGTGTACACAGCCCACACATGCACACACACATGAGCTTGGTAGGGGACTTAGTCAAGCCAAGGGCCTCCCCCAGGAAGACCATGCAGGAACCCGACAGGCACACACAGGAGTATGAACGCACCACTTGCGTGCTTCCACTCTGTGCCTTCGCCACTGAAAACCGCGTCTGGTACACACACCCATGTGTGGCAGCCCCTTGCCCCCGGTCCGCCATCTAGTATCACGACATCTCCCTAAACGACACCATGACCACCGATGGCTGCTCCCAAGACGGTGCCAGGCGCTTACTCCAGCAGCAGAGTCTCTGCCAACGGGACAGCGGGCACGGCCGGTCGTGCCTAAAACCCCATGTCCTCCCCCAGCAGAACCAAACCCGGAAGCCGCCGTCCTGGCTGCACTCCTGAGCCACACGGCTCTCTGAACCCTTGCCCCCACCCCAGGTGAGCTCGACCACTTGCAGCGGTGACTCCCTCCCACCCCCCAGGGCAGTGGCCACGTGTACCAACAGATGAGTCACTTGAGTTCCAGGGCCATGGCCTCAGAGCGCTACCCACTGCCCGGGCTGCCGCACACCCTGCAAGGGCAGAGGTGACTCCCCAGGGAAGCAGAACCCCCTTCAGAGGGCGGGGAGGAGCCCCTGGGTGCCCCGAAGGGCTGAGCTGCAGAGCGGAAGTCACAGACAGGGATCCAAAAAGGGGAACAGTGATGGGATGACGACGAGGCTGGGGTCAAGGGGTCTCGGCCAGGGACGGGGACGCAGAGCCGCTGGCCCGGTCCACCCTGCAAGGGCTGAGCCCATCGACCCCTGTGGGGTCCCCACTTGCACACCTGCTCACTCCAGAGCCCCCCCAGGTCCCGGAGGGGGCTCCACCCAGGCCCAGCAGTCAGGAAGGGTTCCCCGAAGTCGGTAAAACCCCACACTTGGTAAATCAGGAAAGAAGCATCCCCACTCGCCACCACCTCCCTTCTGGAAGATGCTTCCGCCAAAGAAGGCAACACAAAGGGACAGAACTAATCCACCCTTCACGCCTGCAATCTCGAATCGCAAGAAAATGTAAGACATTCAAGGGCCTCAGGAAGGCATGTCCCTCCCCCGCTCCCCCAGGCAAGACAAAACTGCCATTCCAGAACACAGCCCTATCTGGCCGGAAGCAGGTAATGAGGCAAGGAGGGTTCAAAACAGAAGCTGGTGCTGGCCTTGCCTCCCCCTACCATGCCAGTCCACCCCCTGCCCAGGCCTCCATTAAGCACCACCTGGGTGAAGGGCCAGGTCTTCCTGGCTCTAAAGTACAAGCCACAGGCTCACCAGCCGGGCTGAGCCAGGGTGAAGACAGCTGGGCAACTAAGGTCAGTGCCAGCTTCCTCCATGCTGAAGGCCGGCAGCAATGCGGGCTTCCCACGGCCAGAAGACAGGACCCAGCTTCACGATGCATCTGCCTGGCATGCGTGCAGCAGCCGCCCAATGGCGCTCAGGCTCTGTCCAGCTCCAGCACCACAGCCAAGGCAGAACAGACCTGACGGTCCCGCTGGGCTCTGCCAGGCACGTGGCCTGCTGAGCAGAGCAGCGCTCCTCGCCGACTCCCACCTGCTCTCAGCACACCCTGGCCCCTGACCCACGCTGGGGTCTCAGGCCTCCTATTTCCAGACAGCCCAGGGCTTCCAGAACACTCCGGAAGGGTTGCTTTGCCACCATCACCACTGGGAAGCCCACCCAGAGAGCCAGGAGCTTCCGCAGGGGATTGGCCAGAGTCCGGAGCACCAGCCGTCCCATGATGGAGCCAGGCTTGGCCACTCACTGGCTGGGACCTCGGCCTTCAGGAGAGGCTCCTGCCCGCCCCTGCCAGCTCGCAAAGGACCTTCCTCCACTAGAGTGCCCATCATGCTGGCCACACGACACAGGGCTGTCACGTGGCACCCTGAGCACTAAACGTGTTCTGAAAGCTTACGAGCAACGTCAGAGTCCAGCCTCACAGAGTCCCAAGCACGGTGACCGTGCAGGGGGCTCCGTCCCATCTCTTTCTGGGGGAAAATGAAGAGTGGACAGCACAAAATGCCCAAGAGCCAGGTGACTTCTGTGCTGGCTCGGCTGGGTGGGAGCGCGGCCCAGAGTACGAGGGCTTCGCTACGCGGCCAGCACACAGCCCACACCCGTTGTGAGCTCCAGAGACTGAGCCGGCAGGCAGGAACTGAAGGGGAGGAGGGTGAGACGGGGCGGGGGCTCGGACCCTGGACCCCCGACAGCCCAGATGGGCAAGAGGCTCAGCTCTCCGGGCAGCGGCAGTGCCCGGCTCTGAGCCCTTGTGTCCTCGGAAATGGACAGGAAGAAAATCACCCCGGCTTCGAAACAAGACGCACTCCAAGTCTGGAAAGATAGGACCTCAGTCCAGAGAAGGGGCCGGCTGAGGGGTAGCGGGACACCCAGGCGGGGCAGCAGGGGCTCCCCTGGGACACAATGCACTTGCGGTGGCCGCAGTGACACACCCAGGAAGACCATGCTAGAGTGCGCTCAGAATCACGGAGGGCTGGGCACGCAGACTCTGCCTTCACAGGCCACCCACTTTCAAGCCCTCGAGCCAGGTGGTGGTGGTGACCAGCCCCAGGCCCCCACAGGCAGACAAGGGCACCCAGGGACAGCCCATGAGGACAGCGCCTTCCCTGGGGCACCTGACGGTGGGTGCTCTCAGGAAGTGCCTGGCCTTGTCAGCCAGGGGAGGGGGCCCCAGCAGTCTGAGGCCCTTTCCTTAATCCCCTGGAGCAGGGAGCGAGACCCAGGGCCGTGGGCTGTCCCCTGATGATCCCCAATTCTAGAGGGCAGCTCCTGAGGGTGATCTGTTCATCAGTTACAGAGAACCCCGGGTCTGGAGCCTGGAGGACAGAGGGAGCAGGCCTGGGGGATCCCCAAGAGAAAGTGAAAGCGCTAGACATCTCCTGATTCCAGAAACAAAGAGTGAGAGGGACCCTCCGCCAGCCCGCGAGGCTCTGCGGGATGGGGTGGCCCCTCCCCCAGCCCACGGGGACCTGCCGACCTTCCTGCTGATGACCCCGCGAGGCAGCGGGTTTGTCGGCGGTCAGGCGGGCGGCGCCCAGCCGGGCTCGCGGCCGGGGCTTATCTGACCGGAGGCCCTTTGCCCCAGCGCGCACGAGCAGAGCAAAGGCAACAGGAAGGAAGCAGGAAGGCACTTGGGCGGCCCTCGCCCGGCGGCCCTGCCCGGGACGCGGGGACCCGGGGGCCCGGGGGTTCTCACGCAGGGCGAGGCCCCTCCCCGTTTCCATAGCTACACCGGGCGTCTCACACCTCCTTCCATCCCACCCAGAGTGCAAGAAAGAAGGTGCTTCCCGTGTCCCATGGGGCTGGGACGCGCAGGGCACAGCAACGCGGAGCGACAGCCCCGGAGCACTGGGCGCGGCGGGGGCCCTGCGCCCCGCGGACAGGCGTGGCGAGGGTCGCTGCGGGCGGGTGGGGGCGGGGGGACGGGGAGGGCTCGTGGAAGGAGAGACCTAGGGGGACAGAGGGACCTTTGGGGAGGACCCCCGAGGGAAGGAGTTGGGGAGAGCGGGTGGAAGGCAGCCCCGGACCCCGTCCTCGAGGCCGGCCTCCCTGCGTCCGCCTCCCGGCCCCGGCCGCCCCCTCCCCCGAACCCCTGCCGGGTCGCCCTCCGCCGCACCTGGGGCTGCCCCTCCTCCCGGCCGCCCCCGGGCCCCGCGCAGCCCGGCTCCGCCTTTGTCCGGCGGGCAGGTGCGGCCGCGCTCACCCGGGCTCTGGCAGTCGGACTCGCCCTCGGGGGGGCCCGGCGCCTCGGTGCCCTCGCTCCCCTGGGCCGCCTCGTCCTGGCCGCCGTCCGCCCGCGCCTCCACGGGCACCACGGTGAAGTTGGTGGGCATGGCGCTGCGTCTCCCGCTCCGGCCCGCGCTCGGCCCGCGCTCCGCCGACGCGCCGCGGGACTTGGGCGCAGGGGCGGGGCCCGCGCGGCCCGCCCCGCCCCCGGCCGGCCGGCCCCGCCCCCGGCGGCCCGCCCCGCCCCGGCCACGTGACCTCACCTGCCGTCCCCGGAGCCTCCGGAAAAGTTTGCGCGGGGCGGGGCGGAGCGGAGCGGGGCGGGACGCCTTCCGCAGACGCCCCCTCCCCCCCTGCGCTCCGGGACGGCCAGCGCCCCCGGGGTCGCCCCTCCCCCGGCGGGTGACTCGGCCACTGCATTGTCACCCTGCCCGGGGCGGGCCCTTGCCCGCACTAGCCTCCCCGCCCCGCGTCCCCTGGAGACCTCCGCTCGCCAGGCCCCCCCACACGCGGTCCGGGCCCCTCGAGGACAGAGCAGGACCCCCACCCGCCCGCCACAGCGTGCCGGATCTGATCTCCCCCTCCCTCCTCCTTGCCTGGCTCGCGGGCACCCAGAGCAAGGGTTTCCAACCTAAAGGAGCCATGCCTAGCAGGGCATGGGGCGGGGAGCAGAGGCTGCTGTTGGGGCTCAGTCCTCGACGGACATAACCCAGACACAAGCTGCCGAAGCTCTTGGACAGGTCCGGGCCCACAGAGGACCCCAGGCCTTTCCCTTCCCAGCCTCCACCCTGGGGACCCCTTCCCTTTCCTTTATCTGGGCCTGGCTGGGGCAGGCAGCCAGGGAAGGAAGGCCAGGGGACGTAGTGCTCTGGACCCCAGCCCCGCACACCCCTGGGAGGCCGCTGGCCCCCTATCTCCCAGCCGCTCATGAACGAAGGACACAGGAGAACTAGGGAACAGAAAGTCCAGGAAAAGGAAAGTGCGTTATGGCCTCTAGTGCAGGAACCACCCCAGGGCACATCTACGGTTTCACCACACACACCGTAAAAGGGTAACCAGAGTGGTCTCATCAGGTTTGAAAAGTGTGCCAGAATGTTCTGATAGGCCTTAAACACAGCAGCTGGGAGGGCCTGAGGACTTCAAAGGTCTGCATCTTCTCTGCTTTTTTTCATATTAACAACCAAACAGTATAAAACCAAATTCAGAAAGTCCATTTCCAACTTATGACAAAAGAAAGAAGGCAGTAGGGCAGCCCAGCTTCCCACCCTCTGCCTAGGCCCCCCATCCCCGCTCTGGGAAGGGTCCCCTTCGCCCCAGCCCCACCCAGCACGGGCGCTGCTCTCCGCCGCTGGCCTGAGCCAGCAGGGGACCTGGGACTGTTCCGGATCTGCCCCCACACCCCACCCGCACAAAGGAGAGACAGGGGTCCTACGGAGAGGTCCGGAGTGTCAGAGGGCGCTGGGTGGCTTCAGCTGCCTTCCTGGGGCAGCAGCCAGAAACGTGGGGAAGAGGCCACCCCAAAATACAGCAGGTTTCCAGGCGTCCTTCTCAGAGAAGGGCCAGCCTCACTGAAGAGCATGGGCATCGCCCAGCAAAACTCGAGTGCGGTGCCGAAGGGTGGAGGCGTGGGAACAGAGGAACCCTGCCCAGAGGGGCTCGGCAGGGCAGTGCCCAGGCCCCGGGGTGGAGGGGGAGCTCGCAAGAGCCAGGGGACTGCCAGCCCCTGACAGACAAGTGGTCTGCGGCCAGGGCCAGGCGACCACAGGAGCCCCTCAGCCGGCCCAACACCTTCACTTCACAGAAGTGAGGTCCAGGGTTAGGGGCCGCTCAGAGCGGGCTGGGGGGCTGGGAGACGACTCTTCCCCCTGCTTTTTCTAAGGCTATGGCTGGTCCCCCAACTTTCCCGGTTCACAATTTCAGCTCATCTTCCTGGCCCGGGAGCGCACTGTCCAGGAGCCACCAAGGAGAGGGTGTGAGGGTCCGGGGAGAGGCCGGCTCCGGGAGGCCCCGGACCGCCTCTCGCAGGAAGTCCACGCCTTCAGGCTGGAAGAGCCTGGCGCCCACCCAGGTGTGCACCCGCGGGTCTGGGGCCAGTCCTGAGGAAAGGGGGAGCAAATGCCCCCCACTGCTGCTTGGACCGAGGGTGGGGGGGCAAGGGAGAGGGGAAATAAGGAGGGAAGGAGGCGAGCAGAGAGAACCAGAAAGGCTCAGGGGGCAGGGGAAGGGGAGGGAGACCCCTTTACCTAAAGCCAAAGTTACTTGGTCAGAGAACACGTGTGGCAGGTGGCTCCTGGCAGGGTGGGATGTGAGGGCAGCGGGGACAGGAGCCACCTCCTGCGGCACCTGCACCCTCAGGGCTGGCGGGGCTGGGAGAACTCTGACGGGGCCACCCAAGGCAGTGCGGGCTCTGCACACCCCAAGTCCGTCCCTCAGGCGGCGGCCAGGGGTAGTGGACGCCCCGACAGTGCAGCGGTGGACAGAGGCAGCCCGGACCCGTGTCGGGCCCCTTGGCCCCAGACTCGCCCCCATCCCCAGGCTCCTCCTGCGACACCCCCCCCCACCCCGTCTGGCCCCTCTGGGCGGCTCCCTGCTCGGAAGGCCTGTGGCCTGCCCTGGGGACACTGTGGCCTGCCCTGGGGACACCTCTCCCTCTCGAGGAGGGTGGGGCAGGCTTTCCGCGTTCTGCAAAACAATGGCCTGACTCCTCAAGCACGTCAGTCACTGTCACCTGAGGACACAGGACCGAGAACCCAGGACACACCAGATGGAGCTGGTCTGGGGTGTGGCGCGCTCACACCACTGAGGCACTTTTCTGTAGCCTGGAAAGCTTTCAAAATAATTTTGTAGCTCTAGGTAAAGCCTCCTGCTATTGAAATGACAAATGGCCATATCTTAAAAACACTGTCCTCTCTACAACCTTGGATGCCCCCTGGAGGGTAACCTGATGGCCGCTGCCACCTGACCGGCTCTACGGTCCCCACCCCGCGGGTGGGTCCAGTGGGAGGTGGTGCTGAAGGAGTGTCTTCGGGGCAGAATCTGAAGCCAGGAAGGCGGGGTCCCCACCTCCAGAGCCCCTCGGAGACCCTGCAGGGACTTTATTTTTGAGAAAAGTAACATTAAAAGAGCCTGGAGGTTAGAAAGCCTATAGGACTTGAGCGTTGAGCGGGGTTTATAGCCCTTTAACGAGAAGAGATCCCACTCTAGTCGACCCCCTGGGGACCCCACCGTGGCTGCCTGGGTCTCCCCCTCCCCTGCGACACACCCAGGCGCTGGTCCTGCAGCATGTGCCCCTGTTCCCACATCTCGCCCAGGACACCCGTGACCACAGCACAGAGGAAGGCTTCCCACTTTCCTTAGAGCTTCAGACCTCACGCCTGTTCTGGTTCTCAGAGAAGCTTCTTTTCAAATAACCCTTGCTGGAAGTTCAGGAAGCTCCCTGCAGCCCCCACAGGGTCTGAGAGCATGCGTGCAGCCCGACCAGGGGTGCTGGCCCCCACTGCGCCGCTGCCTTCCCCCTGGCACCCCTCGGGGCGCCCGCAGGCCTGCCCCGGGGAAAGGGGGACCCTCCTGCCCGGCCAGACCCCCGAGGCTGTCAGCCCTGAGGAAATTCCGGGACGAGCACACATCCCCGTGTGGACATGCAAGTCCATCGAACCCCCCAGAAATGTCACGCGTAGCCTCAGTGTGACCTCTCAGGCCGCTCGTGCCCAGCTCACCAGCACAAGTGTCCTGGGGCCCAGGCAGGCCGGCAACCTGGCATCAGCCCCTGCTGTAGGAGCTGGGGTCGTGGGCAGTAGTGAGGGGCAGCGGACCCCACTGTCCAGGCAATAGGGCCTTGTGCCCGGACTCACCTACCTGCCCGCGGCCTGCTCCCTGGGCACCCCCGGTCCGGACCCCGGCCCCAGCAAGGGCAGAGGGGACTCCATCCTGCCAAGTGTGCCTGGTGCCCCTGGGCTTCCCTGGGGAGTTCCCGGGAATGGGCAGCGGGGGGACAGGAGCATCCAGCTTCCGGCCTTGGGGCCCCTGACCTCCCTTCAGGCCCAAATACCCTGCTGTCCCCCCAAGGAGCACATGCAGGCCGTTCCCAGCCACTGGTCCCTCTAACGGCTGTGACACGGGCTGTGACATGGGCTGTGACACGGGCTCGCAGGCGGTAATGCATGTCACTGGTGTCAACTCAGGCCCTTTCCGCTGACAAAGCTGTGGCCGGGTCCCACCCCCAGGTCACCGTGGGTCCCCCCCCAGCAGGCTCAAAGGACACCCCCAGAGCTCCCACCGGGGCTGGTCCTGGGTATCAGGTGACGACATCAGGCAGGCCCCAAGTTTGCGGGCACACAGCCTACGTTCGGAGGCCACGAAACAAACTGACACTAAAATGTGGCTGTGGAATTCCCGTGTGGCCTTGAAGGCACTCTCCCTGAAAGACAAGCTGCCTACCAGTCTCCCTTAGCATCAGGTGCTTCTGCTCATCGACAGGTCTGTTCAGAGTAAGAGGTGGGCCCCAGGGTGCCCAGACCACAGTCATCCACGCAGCCAATCCAGGCCTGTGTCGAGTCTGTACAGACAGTCCACGGATCAGTAAGGAGAAGCCAGCACCTCGACAGAGGGCTGCCACAGCCACATGCTGCACTCGGGGCGTTGGACGTGTGCAGCCCCTTCGGGAGACCCACACACAGGTTGGCGGGAGCCCCCAGTCCCCTCCCCGCAGAGACGCGCTCCTGGGTGCTCAGAGTGGCACAGTCGTCGTCAGCCACGCTGGAAGCGAGCCACGGCCCAGCAACACCACGAGCGGACGGACGTGAGGGTCCGAGCTGTGGACACGTGTGCTGGTGCGGGGGTCGGTGACAGCCGGAGCAGGGCGCGTCAAGATGGTGGCCCTGGGCGCCTGCACAGGTCTGCGGCACACACCTCACCGGTCAGCCCTGTGTGTGACCTCGTGGAGAAAGTGTAGCTCGGAGCTGCCTCTGACGCAGAGGTGGGCTCAGCCTGACGCCCTGGGACAAAGCCCTGCCCGAGGACGCCCTGGGACAGAGCTGGGCTCCGTGGGAGGGGGCGGCAAACCCAAGGCACCGGCAAACCTTCCCCCTGCCCCAAATCGTTTGTGTCCCTGGCAGTGGGCCACCCAGGGCCACGTCTCCCACGTCCTTCTTTGGGCGA